AGAAGACATGGAAGAGCATTGGTGAATGATCACGATTACAGGGAGGAGGAGGTGAGACACCAGCAGTGGCGGGAAATGAAATCATATAATCGTCTTCGTTTTCATCAAGATACTTTAAACAGTTTTCAATCATGATGTTTTTTATATTACCACAGCTCTTCTCTAAACGATTAAATCTAACGACATATCCTTGTTTTGGACGTTCACGGCCGTTTAACAGGAGTGGAGGCGCGGCTATCGATTCATTATAAGAAATCTTATTGTCATCATTTCTAACGTTAACATTCGAAGTGAATTGAAATAACCAGATTATAATGATTATTACGAATATGAATTGTTTAGTAAATTTAATTAAGAAAGTTTGAATGTTAGAAGTTCGTTGGATCTTCATACTACGCGAATATTCAAAACTATAAAAGTTGTAACAACCTGTAATTAAATAGCAGGTAATAATGGCATTTTATAACAGAGTATTCGTATTTATTGTACATACATAGCTCGTATATAGTTAATGTGTCATAAATTATGACATAATATATACCTACCGTAAATCATTAGGTCATTAGTTAATAAAACATATAAAGGACTAAATATTTAATTCAATGTCAAAATTGATAGGCCAATAGTAAAAGTACACATAATAAAATACCCATATGGGCTGATTTTGTTTTTTGGGCCTTTTTTTAGATAAACAGTTACACGAAATTTTGCTCTAGTAATGTTGAAAAAGTAACAAACGAAGCATTTGCATAATTAATAAAAGAGCTTTTTTGGCATCCAGGCAAGATAAAAGACAAATTAAAGTTAATAAAACAATTATTCTAAACTGTAGAAAGTGGCACTTTACTGTTTGTTGACATACTCAAGTGTTTCAGGATTGGTTAATCATCGTTCAATTGGTTTTTAACTGTTCAAGGGTGAATTCGGAAGCAAATTTTCAAAAAAAACAACCTTTTTAACTTATTTTTGGCTTATAATAAAACATATTTAATTAGGAGCATAAGGTTAGTTTAAAAGGTCGTTTTTATAAAAATTCGGGTTGTAATAAATTTTACGTACAAAATGTTATGATAATCCTCAATTATGATTGGTTGATTTTGGGGTCAACCCAAAATTAGTGCATATGCAATTCTTTTAACTGACCAGATTTGTGATATGCTCTAGTAAATCAATATAGTTATATGACCAATACGCATTACTGACCCATTTTGTCAAACCTCTTTGTAACAAGTTTGAAGTAAAATTTATAGGAAAATTGTTCTCTAAACGTTTTTAATTAGTGCTCCAAGATAGGTTAGACCTCGCTTTCCATAATTTTCCCTTTTTTCTTGCACTGTTGAACAAATTGTAGATCTCCCAAATGAGAAAAGTGATCTGTCTAATGCAATGTATCATGGCATGTAGATCACCCTCTATGAGTTCACGTTCTATTCCTGGTTTACTAAGTTTTATTTTCAGCAATTAATACAAACCCCAAAAAAGAAATTTAATTTGTTAAATCATTTATTAATAATGAAAATCTCATCATCATTTTAATTAGTACATCAGGTCTTGGTATTTTCGCCTTTTCTTTTTTGATATTACTCGAGAAAGAATAATAGGTTGGTAGTAATATCTGAGTCGAGAGTACAAAAGTAGTTGCGTATGACAAACTTTATCATACTCATATTGGGGCAGTGTTGTGCTGGGACAGGGATACGGACAACGCTTAAATGGTAAAGCCCTGAACAATTAAATTATAATAAGTGCTGCTTTGTCAGTCAAACCGATCGTTTGATAAACCTTTGTGTACAATATGACATGAGACACCACCACGGATATGGGACATTGTCTGGGACACGGGACATCGTCCGCGATTGTCCGTGTCCCTGCAATTTTAACGGGACAGCGTCCGACACAACACTGCATTGAGGTGTACGAAATAAGTCTAATAGTGCAGGTTATATAATGATAATCACTAATCAAGATTTTTTATAATGTACTATTAATTTAATAATAAAAACTCAAGCTACAATAACTCTTGAACCTGCAAACTCACACAAATAAAATTATATTTGTCGGGTTTGTTTTAATGTGCTCTTTAATGTAACAACGCTCCGTTTTTTATTTTTATTGTCTGGAGCATGGCGAGGGTAATGTAATACCAAAATTCTCGGGTTTAATATATTATTAATAAAAACATCAAAAACGTAACTTTGAATTTTCTGTGCATATTGTGACACAATATGCAGTAGCTAAGTTTTTAATATTTTTATTAATAATAAATCAAAAAACAAGAATTTTGGTATTACATTATTTTCCATGTTACGCTCCACAATAAAAATAAAAAAACATTGTCATGTTAAAGAGTACATCATAAAGACTTGGCAAATATAAGCTTATTTTCGTGGGTTTACTAGTTTAAGAGTTATTGCAGCTTGAACTTTCTGTTTTTACATTAAATTATCGTTGATCTACAGTACACTAAAAATCTTGATTAGTGATCATCATTGGCTCATACACTGATATGGAACACAAGTAAATTCCCGAAAACAGACACTGTTAAAATGTCGGAGCTAAAAATAGAACAGACGAATTAGATAAATTAATGATCATCCGATCCAAAAAAAGATGCGGACAAGATAACACACAAAATCTGGTCCATCTGATGTCACCCGGGTCACCCGCGGGTGAGTGGGTGACCCGAGTTAAGTTATGGCAACCCAGGTGAAAGCGGGTGAGTCAACCCGTGGGTTGACCCATGAGTGACCTGTGAGTTGGCCCACGATTGGCCCATAGTTCTGCAGTATATTGATAAATCGTTATCATATGCTTGAGGCTATTATCATGATTTCTGGGACACCTGATAAAAATTGGCCAAATGATTCTTTGCCGATTCAATTAAGTTTGTGATTTCGGCATAATAGATTCAATAAATTGATATATCGATGTAAATATAACTTGGTGCTTTCAAACCACCTCCGTTGGGTTAGTCAGAAAATTTGCTAAATACTCTCAAGCACTTTTAACGATATGGATGTATTGAAAAACTTTTAGAACGACGTATTATTTTCAGGGCATTAATCACCTGGGCTTGTTTTTAATTAACCTGGGTGACCTGTCTGGTGACCCGGGGACAACTTTTTTTAAACTGACCTTTCCACCGGGTAGCAAATTGTCCACCCGACGAGTGACCCGGGTGAAGATTTTTTAGACGGGTAGGCCCATCTAGAAATGACGATCGGTGAAAATTTTCTTAATCATCGATCATTTAATTATTTAATTATATGACCGATCATATGGTCGATCATTATCGTTATAATACAGTTATAATATAAGTTTATTCTCTAGCAAGGTCATTACCATATAGAAAGATAGTCCTCCGCTATTTTATGCACAAATCGTAATTTAGTTAGATGCAAGTATCTTTCTGTAATTACATACAGTATGGCTTCGAAATAAAATTACTATGATTATTAGAAAATGGTAAGAGAAGCAAGAGGCTATCTTATTGTTCTGAATGTGTAATCAGCAACGTAAGAAAGGAGAGATTGTTAATGCCAAGGCAAGGCAAGACCTTTGGTTAGTAGAGAAGGTTATCTTTCTTTTCATCCCATCACTTCCGCCTGTCTATAAGTAACTTGCAAACTAGAGTTGGGCAACGAAACCCGAAACTATATATAAAATCCCGAAACCTTTTCTGAAACTCTATACTATATTGAAAGGGTTAGAATTTTAATTTTAGACTTTAAGACATAAAGTACATGATAATTAGATTGCACTTCGGAAATTTTTTGGTTATTTTATAGTAAATGTGCATTAGTTATTAACATTCTAATTTGAAGGTTTCGCAAAGGTTTCGGGTTACCATGATAACACGACGCGAACCATAATGTTAAGAAACAAAAAGAAACAGATACTAATCGTTTGCATTATTCAATAATACCAAGCATAAAATCGCATTGGCAACCAATCTATATACTTATATGATTGGAAAATAACAGCTTATTACGATATATAGTATAATATAGGAATAGGGTGACCACGAAAATTTCGGGTCATGTGACTGAAGATCTTTAAAGGATTAGATTTTTTTAAAAAAATTCTAGCGAAGGCTTTTCAATAATCATCTAACCAAATCAAATAATTTTTTTATTTTAATTTTATAAATTTATATAAATAAAATAAAAAAATTTAATCAAATATGCACTGTTAGTTATTGAGAAATCTTTGCTTAAAGTTTCAAAAAAATTAGAATATCAAAAACAATTCCTTCAAAACTTTATATGAAGATATAGTTGTTAGACAATACCTCAAGGTTTCGCACTGATGAAATGCAAAACCTAGTGTTGTAGATTAAAAATTTGTTTAATGAACTATACATAAATTCTCTTTATTTTATTTTTATTCTTTATTTGATTTTTTTTAAACAAAATATAAAAGTAATCATTTTTTGATTTTTTTTTTTTATAGTTTCATTTTCTTATTCAATATCTTTTCTTTGCTTTCTCACTCAATATCTTTTCTTCTCTCTTTCTTATTCAATAACTTTTTTCACTTTCTTATTTAATGTCTTTTCTTCTCTTTCTTATTTAATAAATTTTTTTGGCAATAAATTTTCTTTAGCAACAAATATTTTCTTTAGCAATAAATATTCTTTATCAATAAATTTTCTTTATCAATAAATTTTTTTGGCAATACTTTCTTTAGCAATAATATTTTTTCAGCAATACTTTTCTTTGTCAAATAGTTTTCTTTGTCAATAAGTTTTCTTTGTCAATAACTTTTCTTTATCAATAACTTTTCTTTGCTTTCTGGATTTCTTTAATATTCGAATTATTCTTTAGCTTTTTTTTCACACAGGTAATACTTTTCTATTAAAATTATTAATAGCTTCTTTTTTTGATATATTTATTCATATTGGTTCTTTTTTATTCATAGTAGTAGGGTTCCGCAATTTGATTTGATTTGATTTAATTCGATCAAATATTTGATCTCAAATCAAATTCAAATACAGAAATTTCAAATCAAATCAAATTCAAATTGACAAAATATTCGATTCAATTTGAAAATATTTAATAAAAATTGCAAATAAATTTAATTTGATTTGAATTTGATTTGATCAAATCAAATTCAAATCAAGAGCTTATTTGATTTGATCAAATTCAAATATATAAATATTCGATTCGATTCGACTTTGAGAAACTCTACATAGTAGCTTTGAAATTTTAGAAATTATTTTTAGTTGTATTTTTTGTAAATATTCATGCCATGCTATGAAAAAATATTTTCATTTTGGTCCTCTACTCAAATCCCATAAAGCAAAAAAAAGGAAGCATATTTAGCTCTCATTCCTCTTTACTATGGTTCAAGCTCTAGTTATTGTTCTCACTCTCATTTTTATTCTCATAC